AACGATGTATGATTTCTAATTCTGATGGTGGTAATTTGTGTCCCCCCACTCCAGTCAATCTTGCTAAAAGCTTACCAATTTTATTAGTCTCTTCTGAGAATCAAGTTTTGGCTTTGTTGGTTTTCCTTAATGTAATGTCAAGGAAACATTTATTTCATTGAGTTGTGCTTTTATTATCTCTTTCCTATCTCTGTCTTCTCCCTACTTCTTTGAGTTTAATTTGCTATTACTTTAACTTCTCGAGACAACTTTCACCCTCTCCTCTTCCCTAATATACGCATTGAAGATCATACATTTTCCTGTAACCACTTATTTCATGGTACCTCAAGCACTTACTGAGCTGTAAGTTTTGATATGTGACATTTTTGTTATTCAATTAAAAATATTTTCCAATTCTTATTAGATTTCTTCTTCAACTCTTGAGTTATTTAGATTAACATTTCGGGATTTTCCAGTTATCTTTTTCTTATTGATTTCTTGCTTAATTTTACTGTGCTCAGAGAACATACGTATATGATTTAATTTCTTTGAAATTTGTTGGAACTTGCTTTTAAAGCCCTGTCTATGGCCTCTTCTGGTGAAGGTTCCACGTGCACTTGGAAAGCTTATTCAGAGTTATGGAGAGCAGTGTTCTATAAATATTGATTAGGTCAAGATGCAATCATGTTCAAATTTGTCTCTGTGCTGATGTTTTGACAGTTTTTCCATGAGTTACCCACAGAGGTTTATTCAAGTCTCCCACGGTGATAGTGGATTTTCTCTTTTACCTTTTAGTTCTGCTAGTTTTTGCTTTATATGTTTTAATGTAGAGTTTGTAGGTGCGTACAGATTTGGAGTTGATATCTTCCTACTAAATTTTGACAACTTTTAAAATTAAGAACTATCCCTCTTTATCTCTAGTAAAACTTAGCCTATTTGGTCTGCTATTAGTTTACCTATTACCAGCTTTCTTTTGGCTACGTCACAATATATCCTTTACTGTCAACCTTTCTGTATTGTTATATTTTAAAGTAGATTTATGAGCAACATCATGTTGTTTTTTTAATCCCTTCTGACAATCTTGGTCTTTTAATGGGCATATCTAGTTCCTTTGCAGTGCATGCCATCTCCTTTCCTGCTTCTCTTGGATTAATCAAATATTGTTACTAATTAAATTTTATACTGTATTAGCATGCCAATCCTATTATCTTATTATTCCATCAGTAGTTGCCTAGAGATTACAACACACGTCCTTAACTCAGTATAGTCCACCTCAGGTTAGCACTCTTACCGTCTTCCTGACAACACGTGGTGCTCTCAACCGTGCAACTCTATTGGGGCCCTCCGCCTTTTGTGCTATTTTTCTCATGCATTCTAGCTGCAGGGGTACCTAAGACCTCATGAAACATCAGTATCATTCAATCAGGGCTAGTTTCAGCCTTCTCACGGATCTGTTCTTTTCTGGGTTCTTAATTCCTTCCTGTTTCTCTCAGGGTCCTCCTGGAATCATTTCTTCCTGCCTGGGGAGGCTGCAGAGTCGTTCTTTCAATGCAGATCTCCTGGCAGTGAATTCTCTTGGTTTTGGTTTCACCTTCTTTTTTTTTTTACCATGATAAAATATACATAACAGAAAATGTACCATCTGAAGCATTTTTAAGCATGTAGTTCAGTGGCATTAGGTACATACACATTGTTGGGCAACCATCACCTCCTTCCACCTCCAGACCTTTTTCATCTTCCCTGACTGAAACTCCGCCCCAGTTAAACATTGATGGGGCCCCATCCCCTTCCCCCAGCCCCTGGCACCCACCATCCTACTCTCTGTCTCTGTGAATTTGACGACTCTGGGTGCCTCATATACATGGAATCACAAGGCATTTGTCCTCTTGTGTCTGCCTTATTTCACCTCCATTTTTAAGGATGTATCTGATGAGTATAGAATGCTAAGTTGGTAGTAATTTTCCTTGAGATGATCTCCTCTGGCTTCCATCCTTTCTGTTGACAAGCCAGCCGTCAGGTTAATTTGTCATCTCCTCCCTCCTCCACTGCTTCTGTGACATCCTCTGTGCCTTTGGTCTTCAACAGTGTTCCTCTGACGGGTCTGGTGTACCTTGTATCTCTCCAACTTGGGTCCAAAGAGCTGCTTGCATCTGTGGCCTGATGTTTGCCATTATTTTTTGGGAAATCCTCAGCCACCGAGTGTTTTCTTTTCTTTTTTTCTTTTTTTGTCTCTATTCTCCATTTTGTCTCCTCTCATTCTGAGATTTCACCTGTCTTAGAACTTTGACCTTATCTCACGTCTTGCATTTTTTTCTTTATGTTTAATTCTGCTTTCTCTCCATACTCCAACCTGCCTCTTTTCTTCCAGTTCACAAGTTTTCTCATCGTCTATGTCTCCTCTGCCTTCCAATTTACCTATTGCATTCTTAATTTCCATTATTGTCCTTTCTGTTCTAGAATTTCCATTTTATTATTTTTAACATAGATTTTATTTCTCTGGTGAAATTCTCTATCTTTTTGTCTGTTTTCTTGAACCTATTTATCATGGTTATGTTAAAGTGCTCACCTAAAAACTCAACAGCAAACCATAGTCGTCTATCTGCTGGTGAGTGCATGGGTCAGCATTTGGGCCTGCTCATCTGGGTGGTCTCGTTTGGGTCCATCCAAGTGGCAGCTTCCTGGTGACTGGGTGGCCTCAGCTAGCTTCACGTGCCTGCAGCTGTCAGCCAGGTGCCTCGGCTCTCCCCCACGTGATTTTCCTGGCAGCCTGGCTCAGAAGTGTCCATGTGGCAGCAGTATTCTAAGAGGGCGAGAGAGAAGCTCCAAGGTCTCTTGAAGCCGCAGCTCAGAACATGCAGGCCACTTCCACCGTGCTGGCAACAGACTCCACCTCTCGATGGGGGAAATTGCAAAGGATTTCTACCCATCTTTAGTCCACCACAGTCTGCCCATTGGCTATAAATTTTTAGATTCCCCTCAATGCAAAATTCACTCACCCCTCCAAGGCGCCTCAAAGTCTCACCCCATTAGAGACAGCGTCATGCTCAGATTTCAGTATCTTACGATGTGCCTCTTTTTCCAGCCTCTGCCCGATGCCTGGTTGCAAGCCCAGCACCATATGTCTTAGGATTTTGATGTGACAGTACCCCACTGTTGGATCTTAATTTCTTTGTCTGTACTCTCTTGCTGCGTAGCAAACCACACCTAAATTTAGTGGCTCCACACCACGCCTCTTTTGCTTGCCCAGAATTCTGTGGGTCAGCAGTTGGGGCTCAGCTCAGCGGGCAGGCTGTTCTGCTGGCTTTGCATGGGGTGACTCGTGCAGCCGCAGTCACCTGGCGGCTTCTCAGGACTGGGTAGTTGAAGACGGCCTCACTCACGTCTACTGCCTGGTGCTGGCTCTTGGCCAGGATGCCTCCATTCTCCTCCATGTGGCCTCTCCAGCCAGCCAGTTCTGGCTGGTTCACGTGGCCACATTCCAAGAGCATATGAGTGATACACAATGTGACTTCCCCAGCATTCTTTTTGTCACAGTAAGTGTCAAGTTCAGCCCAGATTCAAGTGGTAGGAAAACCAACTCTGTCTCTTGATGGAGGAGCTACAAGCACTTAAGGCATTGAATCTATTGCATCTTTAGATCTGTTTCTATGGTCTATGTTTCCCCTTGGTTTTCAGTCTTTTGTGTATATATATAAAAAAAATGTAGAGGCTCGATGATATTGTCTCCCTACAGATAATTTGATTTTCCTCTGGCATGCAAAAGGCACAGGGCAGAGCACCTTCCTCCAGGTGGGGACTGAGATGACTGGAGGCCACCGAGGTCTCATCTGAAAGTGTGGGGTGCTTACTGGGGCCCCAATTCCTTGGTAGCTTCTGAGCCCCAGTTCTCCTCTTCCCAGTGACACAAGTCTGAGGAGTTCTCTGCTCAGCTTTGAACCCTCCAGCAGCTGATTTTTGCTCGGTTTCTCAGAATCTCACCCTATGCCTGTACAGCTTAATGCACAAATGCTTCATGGGGAAATTGCCTGAAAAAGGACTCACTTCCCTGCGGTCCTCTGTTCACCAGGATCTTGTCCCTTTGAGTCCTGGATGCCTTGTGGCCCTGGGATCCCCCATTTATTTCGCCGGCCCTGGGAGGCCCTGCTCCCCATTCATCCACATGCCTTGCTCAGCGCGCACAAACGCTCGAGGATGGAGGGGAGCTGCGCGTGTGGGCTCCCTCAGCTTGCTGCTCTTCTGGTCTTGTGGCCTTCGAGCTTTCATTGCTCTCCAAAGCCGGCACACAGCTGGGCGGGGTGCTTCCTTACATTGTTATGGGTGCTCTCGGCAGAAAGTTTAGTTTCATGTGAGCTGAGTAGCCAAAAGCAAAAACCAGGTGTTTCCATGTGGATGTATTTCCTTCCAGTCTTATTTCTATGCACATATATTTCATCCATTGCATGTCCTTTGTTGATGGTGTTTCTAGAAGGATCTATGTCTCTAGAAGGAACTTCAGAGGGGAGACAGTTCAATCCCCTTAACAGTGTGGCTCGGTAGGAACTCTCTCTAGCAAGGTCGTCCTGCAGCCCTACGTTTTCCGTGTGTGTCTGTGTGTGGGGCCTCAGAGCATTCCAGCTAAAGGGGTCTCAGGTGCCATCTGTTTGGATCCTTCCCCATTATACTGGGGGGATGCTGGAAGCTCAGGGGAGATAGAAGCTTCTGTTGCTGTACCGCGAGTTAGGGTCATGGCTGTTGCGTACACAGGACCCTGACTTCCACCCCACTTCTGAGCAACAAGCAAAACAAAGGTCCCTCTGGGGTCACGCCGCTAATTAAAAGACTTCTGCCCCCGGCCTCTCCTCCTCCCTCTACCTGCACGTGACCTCTGTCCCATGGGGTTGAACATTCTCCCTATTTCTGGAGGGACCCAGCCCACATGCAGCAGGGGGCACCTGGGGAGGCACCTAGCTCCCGATGGTGCTGGGTGCAGGATGACCCTTATGGGGTACCTGCTCATGCCTCCCCTCCGGTCTCCCCTGCAGGCTACGGGAGCACCATCGGGCCACCATCAAGGTCATTCGGCGCATGCAGTACTTTGTGGCCAAGAAGAAATTCCAGGTGAGTCCTGCGCTGAGCCCTCCTGCCCCCAGCCCACCCCGGAAGCCCCTCTCCTGCCCAGGCAGAGGCACGTGGTCTCCGTCCCCTGCCACACAGGCAGGCCGGCTAAGACTTCACACATCATCTGGCAGACCCCCTGCAATGATTCCCTTATCCATCCCCAAGACAGCAGGCCCCTAAAAGGACGCTTCCCTGATGGGTCCTGGCGCTGAGGCCCAGCCCAGGGCCGGACACACACCCAGCCTTCCTCTCCCTCTGTAGTGGTTAGAAGGCAGGGACTTGGGGGCTGGCTCACCCCTCCCCTGATCCACAGCAGTGACGTGGGAGTGACTCAGGCAGAGTGCAGAGCCAGCCCTTCATCACCTGGGCGGGAAGGGGGGTCCCTCAGACTCCAGAGTCCTGTTTCATGTGGGCTTGGTGCTCTTGTAATCCCTACCCTGACCTGCGTAAGTCAGGGGAAAGGGGACAGACCCGGCCCTCCTCTGCACCTGGGGGTGGCCTGCCTTTACAGGGGGAGGTAGGGGCTCCCCGTTAAGCGGAGCTGGACCCCTGAGTTTCCATCCCCATCAGCACTGTTCGAGGGCTGAGTCTCCTGTCACGGCTGCTTGGAGCCCCCAAAGTCCAAGGCGCCCAGAGAAGGCCAGTTGGTGGCAGGCGCATCTCCCCACCCTCTACTGTGGGGACAGTCCAGGGATGGGAGCCTGGAGCAGCCCTAGCTTGGAGAACATGTAGACTTAGGAAAGAGGAATTCTCGGGTGGGTGGTCATTCTTTCCAGAGGGCTTGGCCTGGTTGCCCTTAAAAAGTGAGTGCCTGATGGAGGCAGGGCTGGGGGCCCCCGGGAGCCAGCAACAGCTTCTAGAGCCCCAGGCCTTTTTTTATCACATGGGAGGGGTAGAGGCAACTCGTTCACATCCCCCAGAGTGGTCCTAGCAAGGCTGGGATGAGAACTGGTGCCGCTGCGTCCTGCCCCGGGCCAGGCTGCGGGATGGACCCCAGCTCCCGTACCTGCCCACAGCCCCGGGCCAGTTCTTCCCCTCTCTGTAATGGGAACAAGAGCCTAAGGGTTGGCGCGGGACCATGTCTGCGCATGCCCTACGCAGCCCTCCGGCCCGCAGCATTCACTGTGACCACGACCGCCTTGGTCCACACCCCAGGAGCAAGAGCGGCGTGTGGCCCCCCGGGATGGTCTGCACACACAGTTCCTCAGTGGCATTCTGCTGCCTGTCTGTCTGTGTGCCTGCACCCCGGGGGGGGCAGGCCTTTCACGACCAACCTGCGCCACATTGTGCTAAGGCTCCCGCCAGGGCCTGGACCTTCTTATTGTTGAAACAAAGAGCCAGCCGCAGTAAATGCCATTCTCAGCAGCACCGGGAGGTCTGCCCGGCAATGTTCTGGGTGAGATGTGATGGCCCCAGATCGAGGGCATCTGGATTCTGTGGCCTCTCCTCCCCCGAGGGCCCTGACGGCCCCGGCAGTACCCAGCAGCGGGGCAGCAGGCAGGGCGGGGAGCTGACGGGGTCCTGGGAGAGGAGGGGCTGGCCTCAGCAGGGAAGGGGCTGCAGGAACCCCTCTCAGAGGTCAGACCCAGGCAGGACAGTCCCCCAAGGGCAGAGGAGCAGCCCTGGGAAGGGCCAGGATGTATCCCTTCACTGGAGAGCAGCCTGGCCGTGACAGCTAAAACCACAGGCTCAACCTGGTGCAGCAGAAGAGCCTTCTAGGATGGGGGTGGTCCCTAGTCTGGGAAGCTGGGCCACTGAGGCTCCAGAGCAGGCCCCTGCAGGGCAGAGCCCATAACCACTGCCCGAGTGGGGATGTGCCGGGGTGGACACCGGGCTTCCTGGGGGCTGCTTCCAAGGTCTGGGGGACCCCAGCAGAGCAGGCGGAACCCTGGGGCTCCTGGTAGGCCCAGCTCAGGGGTGACATGGGCAGCTTCCAGCTCAGGACCATGGGGTGTCCTTAGCAGGCCAGTGCCCACAGTGGCTGGCACCAACTTGAGCTCCGGTGAGCACCTGTCAGTAGAGTGCAGGCAAGAAAACCGGCTACTGGCATTGGTTGGGGCCCCGCATTCCCTTCCAGGCTGAGGGTCCCCTTTCCTGCCTCAGGACACAGGCCAGGGTCCTACAAGTGCCCCTGGAGTCTGCAGGCAAGTGTGGCAACCCCCACCTCTCCTGCTCTCTCCATCCCTCCCCTGTGCGCAGGACCCCTGTGGGGCCTTGGCTAAACTGGGTGGGCCCTCGTGGAGTAGAGAGGCTCTCCAGCAAGGCCAGGGTCTGACGCTGCCTCCCGCTTCACCAGCTGGCCCTCATTGCTGGGGGCAACATGGAGGGGTAGGGAGGAGGGCCCCACTGAGTCGGGGCAGTGAAGGGAGCCCCTGGCAGTGAGGAGCTCTGTGGGGCTCCAGGGGCGGCCCCCACCCGGGCCCAGCTGTCAGGGCTGCCTTCCCTTCCCCCACAGCAGCCTGTCTGTCTGTCTGCCTGCACTCCCACCCCTGCCTGGCCTCACGGGCTGCGGACGTGGCGGGTGGCCCCCCTGCCGGCCCTGCGGGCCGATAAGTGCCCGGCTGGCCGCCCCTGTGTCTGGCCGGAGGAGCCAGAGCCTCTCAGCCCTTCAAGTTTGCCTTGAACTCCCATGTCCACCGTCCGTCAGTCTGGACAGCCCGGCATTATCTCGGCTCATCTCAGGCTCCTGCTGCTGCCGCCAGAGGAAATTAGCTCTGGAGAGAAAGCCGGGATGATCTCTCCAGCCGGCCCCAGGCGGCCACTCGACAGAGGCCCCCAGGAGCGCGGACCAGACCCTGGGGGAGCCATCGGCTCCAAGACAAGTCTCAAGGACCTTGGACCCCGCTGGGCCATGGGGCCTGGGTGTCACCCCACCCCCGCTCTTGCAGATGTGCACACACTCAGGCACACACAAGCGTGCATACACTCTCACCATCACATGCCCACCCACACTTGCTCACACTCTCACGCCTTCCCACAGGCACATTTGTATATGTTTGTGCGTGCAGAGGCTCCTAACACACTCAGGTGCACGCAGTGGCCTGTGACCTCCCAGGCTGTCCTGAGACCAGCACAAGGACCCTGCTCCCCCCAGGCCAGGTCTCTGGACTCAGCCAGTTCTCCAGCCAGCCCCAGACCTCACCGGCCTGCCTGAAGGTGCCACCCACCTCACAAAGCCCTTTGGTCTGCAGGAGGCTGACTGCCATGAATCAGGGCCGCCTTCTGTGTGCACCAAGGAACAGCTCAGTCTTGGGGCTCAGCCATGGCCACCATCACAGCCACCTCTGGTTCTCATGGCATGAGCCATCATGGAACTCCCTGACCTTCCCCACTCATGTCTTTTTTTTTTTTTTTTTTTTTTTTAAAGATTTTATTGTTTCCTTTTTCTCCCCAAAGCCCCCCGGTACATAGTTGTATATTCTTCGTTGTGGGTTCTTCTAGTTGTGGCATGTGGGACGCTGCCTCAGCGTGGTCTGATGAGCAGTGCCATGTCCGCGCCCAGGATTCGAACCAACGAAACACTGGGCCGCCTGCAGCGGAGCGCGCGAACTTAACCACTCGGCCACGGGGCCAGCCCCCCCACTCATGTCTTATTTTATCCTCACACCCTCCCTGTCAGCCAAAGTGAGGCAGGGCTCAGCATCCCTATGTTACAGAAGGAGGGACAGGCTCAGCATCCCCATGTTACAGAGGGAGGGACAGGCTCAGCATCCTGGTCTCACAGAAGGGAAGAAAAAACTAAGCATGCCATCTTATAAAACAGTGGAATAGGGCTCAGCATCCCCATGTTACAGAGGGAGGGACAGGGCTCAGCATCCCCGTGTTACAGAGGGAGGGACAGGGCTCAGCATCCCTAAGTTATAGAGGGAGGGACAGGGCTCAGCATCCCCATGTTACAGAGGGAGGGACAGGGCTCAGCATCCCTATGTTACAGAGGGAGGGACAGGGCTCAGCATCCCCATGTTACAGAGGGAGGGACAGGCTCAGCATCCTGGTCTCACAGAAGGGAAGAAAAAACTAAGCCTGCCATCTTATAAAACAGAGGAATAGGGCTCAGCATCCCCATCTTACAGAAGGGAGAAGCAGGGTTCAATGTACCCCATTTTACGGAAGTAAAATCTAAGACCTGGGGATCTCATCGCTGGCCTGAACCTAAGTACTGACTTTATGCCTGCCTTTAAGTGAGTGTGTGGGGAGCCAGAGGGTCTGCCTAGAGTCCCACCCCGTGATACCATGATGGTCTTGGAATGTAGGCCACAAGGTGATGTAGGTGGTCCTGGTGCCCAGCCTGGCCTCCAGAAGCAGCAAGTTCTTCTGTTGGGGGCACAGTTGTGGCATGGGGCTGGGAGGCTCCTTCTCAGCCCTTCCAAATCAGGATCCTGTATTTAGGGTCCAGAGAGGGGCTGTGTGTTGCCCATGAGGGCCCTGCCTGGTGGATCTTGTTGGGGGCAGAAACGCCCTGAACTTCTGGGGCCTAGCCCCTGGTAGAGAGGAGGCCTCTGCCCTGCTTTGGGATTCCTGAGCCCCAGGACAATGTTGGGGAGTTGCAAGAACTTTGCCAAGTTGCCAGCATTGATGGCAGAGACCCCAGGCATGTCAGAAGGGTACACAGAGATCTGAGGCAGGACCCCATCTTTTTGGGAAGGCAAAGGTGGCCCCAGCATCTGGGGTGGCACCCCAAGGAGAGGTAAGCCCAGGTGGGCAAGAAGGACAATGGGCCCCAGGGCTGAGACCTTACCCTGACCCTCGATGGACATTTGCTCCTCGTCCGCTCTCATCCTCTGACCCAGGCGGGCTCCACCCCCTGGGCCGTCTGGCATGTCTCTCAGGCCCTTTGCCCTCCCCAACGAGAGGCAGTGACCCGGCTCATCGCTCATGTGGGCCCTTTAGTCCAGTGAGGACCATCCTGGGCCCCACTGACCGTGTCTCCCTGCAGCCCCTCCGATGGTGGTGGTCTGGCTTCCCGTGTGACTCCAGCCTGCTTGTGTGCACAAAGAGCTTCCTGGGCCATCAATCCCCACTCTACCAACCTGCTGCCACCTGGGCGAGACCCTCGGCCCACAGGCTCCTGGGCACAAGGCCCTAAATGTACTTGAGCCCCCAACGCATTTGTGGGCTCAGAGCTGGCGCCAAGCCTGGGTGCCCGGCGTCACCTGTCTGGCCCGAGGCCTGCTGTGGGAGCATCTGTCTCCCAGTAGCGTTGGAGTCCCAGCAGAAGGCCTGTCACCCAGAGCAGCCAATGCAGGCAGAGGTTGTCACCTGGGGCCACCTCGGCCCAGTCCTGGGGACTGCCTGGGAAGGGTGTATGGCGGGCCACCTTCCCACCTTGAGAACAGCGGGTGTGCCTGCCAGTGAGTGAGTCGAGAGTCAGCTTGACAGGCAGGCAGTGGCTTCACAGAGCTGGCCCCACTGGCAGCCACCCAGCGGGGCCCCTGGCGGCTCTGCTTCTCTCCTGGCCCCTCAGCTGGGCCAACTCTTCCAAGGCTGTTGGAAAACAGGGACTGGTAGCCTGGAAAGGAGAGTGGGCAGACCCCTGCGGGTGAGCGGGCAAGAAGCTGAGGCCCAGAGAGGCTGAGCGATCAGCCCAGGATCCCCCAGACCTAGTGGCCAAACCTGGGGTGCCCAAGCCACCGGGGATGAGCCCAGCTCCTGCATGTGCACTGGGTCAGGCCTGCCCCCATCATGCCACACGGGCGAGTTCCTTAAATCCCCAAAAGACCCCACAAGGCAGGGACTGTCACTATCTGCATTTAGCTCCAAGCTGGCGGGCACAGAGAGGAGGGTGACTCGTGTCTTTCTGGCCTGCAGCAAGCGCGGAAGCCCTATGATGTGCGGGACGTCATTGAGCAGTACTCCCAGGGCCACCTCAACCTCATGGTGCGCATCAAAGAGCTGCAGAGAAGGTGGGCCTGGGCAGGGGCACCGGGGAGGGGGCCTGGGACCCATGGTGATGTGAGAGGACCAGGAGGTTGGTGGAGGCAGCACAGGCGAGAAGGACAACCTCGTCTCCCGTCCCCTCCGGCTACATACTTGTCCTGCTTCTCAGAGCTGCAGGTCTCTTCGCAGCCCACCCCACCCACCTGCCTCTTGCTGTACCAGCTCTGAGCAAGGGCCAGGCCCTGCCCCAGGAGACACCCAACACTGGGGAGACCCTGCCAGGCGCAAGGCCCCTCCCCAAGGTCTGCCTACTCCTGAGGTCTGCCCCACTGGAGCTGGGGACCCTAACCATTGGGAGCCAACAGTTTCTGGCTTCTGGCCTGAAGCCTGGGAAGCTTGTTCATGTGGAAGCAGTGTGGTTCTTGGGGGCCTATGCAGGCCCAGACCAGCTGTGCCTCCATGGCGGGCTAGCCTGGGAACCTAGATCCAAGGGTCACAGGACGGGGGCTAAGGCTGCCCCGCTGACCCACCAAGGAGACGTGAACCCCACCCTGCTCAGCGACCTGGCCTCGCCCTGGAAGAGCCCATTTGCAGGCCTGCCTCTCTGAGCATAATCAAGGCACCCGGCCGGGGGCATTTATGAGGTGGCCATAGGACGCTGGGCAATCCTGGGACCCCCACCCTGCCCAGGGAGCAAGTCTAAGGAGCACTCAACCACTAGCCCTCATCTCTGAGCCCCCTGCCCAGCCCGCTCAGAAGCATGGGACTGGGAGGCACCTGGCAGGTTTGTGGGTGGCAGCGGTGGGTGACCCCAGAGGGGGCGGGCTGCTTGTTGTCTTGCTAGGTGCACTGGAGCACCTGCCCACCAGCAGGCTGCGTGTCCGTGTGGTGCCTGGGCCAAGCATGAGCTAGTCTCTGTCTCCCTCCCTCCCAGGCTGGACCAGTCCATCGGAAAGCCCTCCCTCTTCATCTCCGGCTCAGGTGGGTTTCCATGTCAAGGTATCCTGGGCATGGTGGCCCACGTTGGACCCTTTTCCCGCCCTCCACCTGCACCCACCTCTCCCCACCATCAGAACAGCTGTCGGGGGCTCCAAAGTGCCTGACAGGCAACAAAAGCCAGAGAGAGGGAGGCAGACATACCCCAACCCAAGCAAAGTGGCTTTGAACGTGTTTTACAAAGAAATTTCAATTAGTACAAGAACCCACGTGGATTCTAGGCCATTGAAGATCTGGGCGTGGAGATATGACCGGATCCTGTGCAGGAAGGGACCAGAGGAGTGGGGTTAGGGGATGAGTGGCTAGCACAGAATTCGAGGGGCCATTGGTGGCAGCAAGGTAGGTGCGTTCTCCAGCTCTGTGAGTGCACCGGTGGAGCACAGGGCCAGGCAGCCCAAGTTTAAGTGGGAGCTGCAGCTTCTGCAGGGGCCGGGACGGCTGGGGCCTGAGCGAGGCCAGGGCCGCCCTGGAGGGCAGAATATAGTGGTTTTGTACAGCAGGCAGCCCCCCTGGCTAGGGCGTGTCCCTGTCCTCCACTGATGCGCTCTCAGAAGTCACAGAGCTGGGAAGGGTGGAGCAGGGCCATGCGACCACGGCCAGCACCCTGCCCACCCCACCCCCTCCTGAAGTTCTCGCCACAGACACGCTGCTAAAAGATGTCCTCAGAGGTTCAAGCTTTCCGACCCTGACCTACCACACCCCTCCCCCCGCCAACATGCGTGTCCCTGACGTCCATGCTTTACCCCCTAGAAAAGAGCAAGGACCGCGGCAATAACACCATCGGCGCCCGCCTGAACCGCGTGGAGGACAAGGTAGGCGCCAGGGTCCCGGCCCCCGTCGGCTGGTGGGGGGCAGCGGGGCAATGCTCCTGGTGGTCGTAGTCCTTGGGGCTGGTACAGTGCCATCCACAGTGGCGTTTCACTCCTCCGGCTCTGTCCCAGCGTGTGTTGGGAATTGGATGGTGACCTGGGCCACTGCGAGTCTCGCTCCCCGGCTCCCTCCTTCCTTCCTTCTGTGCTCAGTGTGGCCCACATGACGCCAGGGTCTCCCTGCGGCAGGGCTCACCTCCACTCCTCCTCACCCGGCTGGGCGTTGGTCCCCGTGGGAGGAGTTCGGCCTAAATTCAGGCCAGGCTGGTTTCTCGACCTCTGAACAAGTGGCGTCTTTACTGGCACGTGGTGCTGAGCGGCCACAGGCCCCTCCCTGCAGTAGCTGAGGACCGCCTGGCACGTGCCAGTGTGGGCAGTGCCGTCTGTAGCTGCGTGTGGCTCCTTTGGCCTCCAGCCTGTGTGCGCTTGGGGACATCAGAGGCTCTGACAGTGGTGCAGGGGTATATCGGGCAGGGCGGAGGGGCTGTGGGCTCCAGGACCCCCCACTGTAGTGTGCTGACCACGCTGGAGGGTGCAGAGTGTCAGCTGAGGCCCTGCTGGGCGTCCACGTGGGACTCAGGGCCTGTGGCTCCTCTTTGGTGCTGCAAAGCCCATGCTCCCTCTGCTGCAGGGCACCGGCCTCCTTGACCCACACGGCCTCGGCCCCTGGGATGCCCGCTCCCCGCCAGGCTCTGTGCCCGTCGCCTAACCTCTCAGCGAGGGCGCCTCTTCCCAGGGCGTCCAGGGAGCCGCGGGAGGTTCTAGGGGTGGCAGGGCCTTTCTCAGGCCCACAGCTGGCACTGCCCTTTGAAGTCCCTGCGGGTCGGAGCGGGCCTTTATCTTGCCGCACAGCTCCTCCGTGTACATGTGTATCTGAAAGTAGCTGGGAGGCTAAAATTAGAGAATTTCGGCCGGACGGGGAGGGCATCTGCTGCTCAGTTTCCCCAGCAACGCCTGGCTCTCGCCCACTTCGATCTCACCTGCAGCTGGGCAGATGGGGCAGGGGCACGGCTCCCCATTCCTGCCCTGTCCTACCTGGGCCTCGGGCCTGCAGCGTCACCCTTCCTCCTGCACAGTCCGCCCCTGGCCTGGGCTGACCAGGGCTCGGAGACCAGTAAATGGGATCAGGCAGAGGGAATTGCGGGCCACTGTCCGGGTGCCCACTGGGGCCCGCACTTCAGGCCTGACCTACTGGGGCCACGTGACACCAACACCCTGGCCGCGCTGGAGGACCTGGCCCACCTCGGACAGCAAAAGCCTGAGTGGGACTGGTGTCTCTCCTGTTCTCAGGCAGATGGCCCGGCGGGACGCGTCCCTGTCTGGCGGGGTGGGAACTGAGAGCAGGAGAGGTCAGCTCAGCAGGCCAGTTGGGATCAGAGGCTTGGGGCCCTGGACTCCGCCGCTCTGGTGAACGAGATGCATCCTTGGCTTTGGCTTCTCTTGGCGCGTGGACCCAGGGACTTGAGTCTGGCTCCCCCTGTGAGAGGCAGCAGTACACAGGCCGGGGACCCTGCATGGGGCCTTCCAGGCGTCAAAGGAAGCAGAAGTGGAGCCAGGGAATGGACCCAGGCCACCCCCCATCCTCACCCAGCCCTGGAGCATCCCTGGCCAAGGCTGCCTTTGCTGACTGGCCCCACTGCTGGCAGGAATCATGGCCGCCCCTGGGCCCCTGAGCCTTCCTGCCCTCAGCGGCCCTGGGAGCAACCCTGCTGCCCCATTTTCCAGATGCGCGCACCCCTCCTCAATGCCCTGTCCAGGTCCCGTTCTATCCCCACTCCACTGTTCCAGGCCTTTCTTATGCCTCTCAGGACAGGCCACCCCTTTAAACCCAGGCTGGAGCCTGGTGTCCTCTGGGGTGACAATGGGTAGGACTCAGGGTTCCCTGGAGCAGTGCCCCCTCCCCAGGCTGGGGTAGCGGCCATCCTGCAGTGGTCTGAGAACCAGGATGCAGCCCTCAGTCGGCCAAGGTCAGCGTGGTGGGCTGAGGTGGGGCCAGCGCTGGCCTTGGGGGTACACAATCACGTGCCCGCATTTCTTCAGATCTGAACAACAAAGGGAAGTGTTTTCCGGAGTCCCTGATCCCCGGGAGCAAGGTTTGGGAACAAAGCCCCTGATGGCCTGGCCCCCAGGCTCTGCGCCCAGGAGAGGGGCCATTTCTGGGTTGCGAGGATTTGAGGATTCGAGGGGATTCCACACGTGTGGCACTTAGCCAGGCTGGTTCTGCGCTGCCTTCACCCCACTGTGCTGCCGGGGAGCCGGTTCAGGCTGAGAGGCTGAGCCACCTCCTTAGGGTCTCTGAGGTCGTAAGCAGGCCCATGCTGTACGCTGACCGTCTGCGCCCCGCCGTCCGTCAAGGCATCGATGCAGATGCGCTGCGCCCAGACAGAGGCTGCCGTGGGGCGGCATCCGGCCCAGCCAGTGGCAGCCCGCCCAGCCCCTCCCCAGCCGCTGGCTGATGCCCCACTTGGGGACAGACCCTGGGAAAGGGCCTCGCCAGGCCCAGAGGGTACAGTGGCATGTCCTGGGCCCCACCTTATCACTGCAGCCATCAGGACCATAAACAACCCCAGAGCAATCCTGCTGACTGCGGGAAGTTGGGGGCAGGAAATTGAGCAGCCGCCCAGCCCTCGGAGGCCCGGAGGCCCAGAGCAGTGGCAGAGCCGCCACCGCCAACCCCAGTCAGAGCCCCTGGGCCTTCCCAACCCCGCCACGCTGGCCTCTGGCCGGAAGGGAGCCTGGCCCCAGCGATGGGAGTCAAGGCTCCAGCCCCCGGCTGCTTCCTCATCTCAGCTCAGGTCCTCGGCTGTGACAGGGGTCCCATCCCAGGCCAGCTGGCCCAGGCCAGGAGGAGGGGCTGGGAAAGGGGCCTTTGGGATGCGCGCTGACTGGCCCCTACTCTTGGGAGCAGATTGTTGTGAGGTCAGGGGCCTGGGGTGGCCACTTGCAGAGAGTTCCCAGGGAAGGCCAGCTCAGCCGGGTCAGGGGCGTCTCGGTTCCCCTGCAGGGAATGTCCAGGCCAGGGGCCACAGCGGGGAGAAGGGCCTCCCACACTTCCTTCTTCCTGCAGTCCCGGGGCCTTGTCGCAACTCTGGCTTGGCAGTGGCGTGCCTTTGCTCCGACGGAGAGCCCATCTGCCCTTCAGGATGGCCCCCTGTCCCTGGGGTACCTTGCACCCCAGTCTGCGGCCTGGCCTGGGTATGCAGCCCACCTCACTCCAGAGATGCAGACAGCAGAAAGAGCATCCCCACCCTGCAACCCGGCCCCGCAAGCCTCGCTGGCAGACACTGGCCCCGCTGCCCGTGGGTCTCCCTTTGGTTGTGAAAAGAGAGTCGTGAACTGCTCTTTGCTTCTGTTTAAAGATCACTAGAGGTGTCGCATACTCTTTCATGTTGTCTTTATTCCAGAAAGGACTCTTATTTGCCCAAATAAAGTCTCTTTTACAGGTGGGGAAACAGGCCCAGAGAGGTTGAGTGGTTGCCTAAGGTCACAGAGCTAGTTAGGTGAAGCGCTGGTCCCTGAGGAAGCCCTGAGGAGGTGGAGGAGACAAGGTGGAGAGAAACAAGGAAACCAGAAAGCGTTTCATAAACATAAGGAGTCTGGTTGAAAAGAGGCTGACGTGAACAGCGTGGGCCAAGGTGGGGCGGGCAAGCAGTGAGCTGGGTGGGCTGTGGTGGGCAGGGGAGCAGCGCTGATTCTGGCACTGGCAGAGGCCTTGCCAGGCCCTGGGACAGGAGTCCTGAGAATACCAGCCCCTGCCCGGCCCCCAGTCCCCAGCGCCCCCGGCGTGGGTTTCTCCGGCCGCTGGAGCCAGGGCTGCTGGGGAGGCAGGCGTCCCCTTGGCTCTCCGGGGCCCCGATGGAGAAGCAGGCTGCTCCAACCCTCCTCCCCCAGTGTGTATTCTTAGCTCAGGGCCCGGGACCTGCTGCAGTGTTTACGTTGAGCCCTGTTTATTTTGCAAGCTCAGCTCATACTGCTTTTGCTGATATGAGGCGCACAGTGAGCTGGGAAAATTTCTTTCTTCTCTGTTTTGGCCGGAAATGTTCATGGCTCAGAGCCGGACCCAGGGAAGTCCTGGGTTTCCAGGCCCCACTTCAGAGAGTGTGGGTGGGAAGGGGCCCCTACCACCTGACATTCCTTCCACTGCCTCCTGTCCTAGAACCCTGGCCAGGCACACCTTTCTCCTGGATAGGAATGCCCCCCAGCTTGGACCCACACACACACCTCCCCCGGACCCCTTTGCTGAGCGCACAGCTGCCCTCCCCTTGTACCAGGCAGGCCCAGCTACCCGGGACTCAGCATCTGCCCCAGCCACTGTTCCTCCTGCTCTGTCCCTCAGCCCAGAGGGAATCTTCCGTCCACCCAGGCCTAAAGACGGGACCCCGAGGTGTTGTCATCCCAGACAACTCCCCCTCGCCAACCCCCGGAAGCTGCCTCGACGAGGCCCACCTTGCTCTCAGCCCCACTCCCTCCATGCTGAGTTCAGGGCTCACACCTTCATCATCTCACGCTTAGCTTATTTTCCCAGCAATCTATAGGGTCTCTGGCCTCTCCCACCCAGCCACCACTCCTTCACGTTGTCTATTATTTCCTAGACACTGCTGAGCCCACTTGCTAATGTTTCATCCAGAATTTTTGTCCGTATTTGTGTGTGAAATATGTATGGAACACGATTTTCCTTTCTTATACTGTCCTTCTCAGGTTTGGGATCAAATTTACGTGAGCCTCACAGAACAAGTTGAGAAGTGTTCCCTCTGTTTCTGTATTCTGGGATATTTTGTATAAGATTAGGATTCCTTTTTTCCCTTGAATGTTCAGTGGCACTTCAACTCATCTAGCCTTGGCGTTTTCTTCGTGGGAAGATGTTTAATTCTGATTCAATGATTTTAATGGTTATGAGACTATTTGAGTTTTCTATTTCTTCTTGTGTCAGTTTTGACAAGTTA